AAAGAACTGTCAATCTCCCTCGGCCTGGGGCTCCATGCAAGATCTCACCTCGTGGAGTTGCAATGATCATGAGAACAGTGAGGAATCAGCCCAGAACTACACGGGAGGATCTTGTCAATGATCTCAAGGCAGCTGGGACCATAGTTACCAAGAAAACAATTGGTTACACACTACGCCGTGAAGGACTGAAATCCTGCAGCGCCCGCAAGGTCCCCCTGCTCAAGAAAGCACATATACATGCCCGTTTGAAGTTTGCCAATGAACATCTGAATGATTCAGAGGACAACTGGTTGAAAGTGTTGTGGTCAGATGTGACCAAAATGGAGCTCTTTGGCATCAACTCAACTTGCCGTGTTTGGAGGAGGGGGAATGCTGCCTATGACCCCAAGAACACCATCCCCACCGTAAAACATGGAGGTGAAAACATTATGCTTTGGGGGTGTTTTTTCTGCTAAGGGGACAGGGCAACTTCACCGCATCAAAGGGACGATGGACGGGGCCATGTACCGTCAAATCTTGGGTGAGAACCTCCTTCCCTCAGCCAGGGCATTGAAAATGGGTCGTGGATGGGTATTCCAGCATGACAATGACCCAAAACACACGGCCAAGGCAACAAAGGAGTGGCTCAAGAAGAAGCACATTAAGGTCCTGTAGTGGCCTAGCCTGTCTCCAGACCTTAATCCCATAGAAAATCTGTGGAGGGAGCTGAAGGTTCGAGTTGCCAAACGTCAGCCTCGAAACCTTAATGACTTGGAGAAGGTCTGCAAAGATGAGTGGGACAAAATCCCTCCCGAGATGTGTGCAAACCTGGTGGCCAACTACAAGACACGTCTGACCTCTGTGATTGCCAACAAGGGTTTTGCCACCAAGTGCTAAGTCATGTTTTGCAGAGGGGTCAAATACTTATTTCCCTCATTAAAATGCAAATCAATTTTTAACGTTTTTGACATGCGATTTTCTGGATATTTTGTTGTTGTTATTCTGTCTCTCACTGTTCAAATAAACCTACCATTAAAATTATAGACTGATCATTTCTTTGTCAGTGGGCAAACGTACAAAATCAGCAGGGGATCAAATACTTTTTTTCCCTCACTGTAAATGCTTTGCAGATGGCAAATTATGCAGTTTAGTTTCGCGTTTATTGCAATGATTAGAAGTTAGCTCTAAGCGCAGTGATCGTAATAATGCTTTTTGTTTTTACTCAGGGTAACCTTACCGAGTCTCAAGACACCTTTTTGAGGAGGGTCCTGCTTTGGGATGTTTGTGACGCTTCCGTGTTAACGAGTGTTTTTACCTCGTGGGAGAGAACTCTGGTACCCGGAGGAAACTTACACAACAGGAGGACGTAATACTCAAAACTCTGCACGGTTAGATGTAGGAATCCGTTGCTGTACTGACATCTCCTAACAGCACAGCAACGGATACTCATGGCTCAACCGTGGTCTGTCCAGTGAAGCCGGACAGTGGATGCTCACTTTACCCCAGGAACGCCAAAGCACGGTTGGCTATGTACGGTGCAAAATAAGTTGAACATACACAGACAGGTAACGCCTTGTTCCCACAGCCCAAGCCTACAAGCAACATCTGAGAGGCTAAGAGTACTAACGAGTCTCACCCCCACTCAGCTGCCAAGATCTGTTGAAGCTATTTTTACCCCCAAAGTTTAACTTGGAACAGAAATAACCCGGTGAGTTCACATCCCAGCAGGGGGGTCGCCTCAACCAATCATTTCTCCAGGAGGGTTCATAAAGTGAGCGCTCCGCTGCCCTGGAGGAATTAAACATTTGTCCTCGTTTGCAAACACCGTTGCCCCCGCCGTGCGAATTACGGGATGCCCATCTCCCCGCGCCCCCCATCCCTCCGCCCCCCTGCGCCCCCACCCCCCTCCCGCGCCCCCACCCCCCAGCCCCCCCCGCCCCCACACTCCGCCACCCCCGCACCCCGCCCCCCCGCCGACGTTTTGAGCAGAGGAGGAAAATTCGAGTCCACTTCAAAGCGAGCACCATTGGGAATCGGCGTCCGAGCAAGCCCAATGCCGCGCAGGAACGCGACGCGGTTCCCGCATTTCTCCGCTGCCTCCGTGCGAGCGGGGGCCGCAACAACAATGTGGTGCGCCATGCACTCGGTGTTTCTGTTACGCGGCCGGCTCCAGTAGGTGTGCGTCCTCTGTTACGTAACCTCCCTGATGTGTACGCGACATTTCATGGGCCTGCTGTACATTTACGGCTTTAAGTCACTGACGTCGGCTCATTAAATGCGTAGTTTACAACAACGGGTAGATTGTCATACGGCGGACCCCATTAAGGATGGTTGCACATACGCCAAGGGGCGTTGCGTAAGGTCAGGTCACATGTCCTGGTTTTTAAGTAGGCGTCTCTCTGCGTTTGTGTCCCTGTGCTTTGCGGAGCGCGTATGTTGATGATGCTTGTAGCGTTACAGGGGCAGCAGCAGCTTATAACATCCTTATATTATTTTTATTATTTACTTCTGCGGAGGAGCGTAGTAGTTAGTGCACTGCTGTTACACTACTGATGACCTGATTGAGATTGCTGGCCATGCTGTGTGGGTAATGAGGTTTATTTGACCATACTTCACCATGCTGCTGATTGGTGCAGGTTGGTACAGGAAGCAACCTGGGAACCGGTTCGGATATTGCTCACCACTGATGCTGTTGCCAGGAATCAGGTTCATAGTGTAGTGAACAAACCACTGCGCCACCATTCCAACCCTCTCTGCGTACACTGAAGTGACAAAACAATAAACCAATAAGTATTCAATCACGACCCAGACTTGCGGCAATTCGTCTAACCTTACAGGAGCGCAATTGTCACGTGCCTCTAAAACATAGGCAAGCTGCAGCTCCGATATCCACATTAGAGACAGAGATGTGGATAGGGGCACTACGGTGGAGATATGTTAACTACCTCACTTGGTATACAAGAGGTCGTTGGTTCGATCCCAACCCTGACACCTGTATATTTGGAGTTTGCATGTTCTACCCGTGGTCATGTGGATTTTTCTTCGGGTCATCCGGTTTTGCCTCCGCATTCATAAACATGCATTTAGAGCATTTGGCTGCTGTAAATGTCCACATTGATGAACCACTTCATTGGGCTATCATGTGTGGCCAGGTCGGTTCTGAAAAAGAGCTATATAGCTCAGTGGGCCTCACCTGGTAAGTAAAAAGAATATATTGAGATGTGTGTGGGCTTCTAAAAAACAAATGTACCGTGCTGCCCCAAAGATTTATTCCGATTTAAATATTGGTACAGAAATGGGTTCTTGAATCCATATGTGCGGACCTTTGAGTGTCACTCCTCACACTTACCAGGTTTTCTCGGGGTACTCTAGTTAAAACTATTAAACTCCTAATATACAGGCGTCCGGGTCGGGAGGGAACCCATAACCTACAAACCAGGCGAGGTAGTTAACATATCGCCAAGCGAAGCCAAACGCTCATCAATGGATTTGGCCAAACATTCCAATGCAGGACCCTCCTGAAAAAAAAATGCCCTGAGACTCGGTGAAGCTTTTCTGAGTAAATTTAGGATGTTAATAGTGTATAATTATAATTAAGGAGTGGGCCAATCCTGCCTATCACTCAATCGGACAGCTGTTTACATCCGCAAAGCGGTACGCACTTTTATCAACTCCAGGGGGTGATAATGGGCTAAGTCGTCTACCTCATCATTTAAAAATCACAACTTTTCAGTTGTGAGTCAAGCCTGTGTATAAAATATTCACACCATTGTAATCATCAGCCACGATCGGTCCTTTTATGGATGAAAGACTTGACAAGCCGTTGCATAATTATTCTACTTATAACTGCATTTTAAACAACCTGTGACTAACATCATCTGTTCTGAACACTTCACAGACTAATAAACACCTTCCTTGATCTGAACTGGACTCCCCTGGGTACGAAAATTCTCCTCCAAGCCAAACTCATACCGCTGAAGGAAAACTCTTAACACGATTATGAATATTCTTGGTTCTTTCGGTAAAGTCACGTAGAAGGGAAACAATAAAATACTAAAAATATAAAACAAAATTCTCACGACGTTTCGACTGCAACAAAAGCAATAATCATCAGGTGTGAAAACCACAGCAAAAAAAACGCCACTTTCAAATTTTCTTGCTGTGGTTTTCACACCTGATGATGATTGCTTGTGTTGCAGTCGAAACGTCGTGAGAATTTGATTGTTTTATATTTTTAGTATTTTATTGTTTCCCTTCTACGTTACTTTACCGAAAGAACCAAGAATATGAATCCCTGCAGTCACGAAATCTTTAAATCACGATTATAAATCTCGCCCTCTAATGACAGCACTACCCGGCACCATGTATCGGGGATCATTATCTCCATACACAAAAGAACGGTGGTAATTGGCCTCGAAATGATTAACTCTCCCACGCTTAAATGAATTGTCACAATTGGGATCTCAATTCAGTTCTGTAATTGATTCGTTTCAACACTTGACAACTAATATTGAAAATGCTCATGCGTTTTAGCTCTGCCGATCTCCTGTAATGTGGCGGGGAGGGGGGAGGGGGCAGTGGTGATGGGGGGGGGTTCACAATAACTCTTGGAAATATGATCCAATATGAATAAAGTATACAGTTGCGGAGCTATTTGGGACTGGCCCTATTAAAAAGCGGCCACATTTGATGAAAGGCTTGTCCATGCGTGCGTGCATGCGTACGTTTGTGCGGCGCAGTAGTGGTGTAGCGGTTAGCATGCTACGCCATGAACCCGTCGACCCAAGTTCGAGTCCCGCTCATGGCCAACACCAATGACGATTACATGTTACCGGTCGTGGGCCCCCTAGATCGAATCAGCCTCAATCATCGCCACTTGGGAGACACAGGAGGCGGCCGGGCGTGGTGCTGGCCACCCACTCCCTCGTGTGCCGTGCCGGCCTTCGCACGTGCTACTTGTTCACGCCACTTGCCCCAACAGTCTGTTAAGGCCATGCCTTTGTGTGCGTGCGCGCGCTCAGATCTGGGCTGGTCCCGCCGTGCCGCCACGGTACCGCGTCTCGTCGACACCTACCCGGAGCTGGCCACCATGCTGCTGTCACGCGCGCCGTCGCCCCTGCTGCCCGCGGAGGGCACCGCCGTGGACCCGGCTGGCACCCGCAAGCTCCAGCGCCTGGAGGCCGTCCGCCGTGCCGAGGGCGGCCTCACCAGCGGCGCCAGCGCCTTCGGATTCCTGGTTAGTTTTTCTGGCACCCCCCCCCCCCCCACTGCCCAGTCCTTTCTGGTTGACGTGACTTACGAAGCGAAACAGCGGCTCATCGTTGGCTACGTGGGACGATCTTACCCCCTCTTAGCATTTCATCGAAATGCTGTGATTTGGGGACTGCAATTTTTTTTTCCCAGAATAGATTTTATCTTTTTTAAACTCCATTCTTACCCGATGTTTTTCAACCATGGTTGAAAGCGTTTATGCATTTGTTTTAACCGTCTCTCTGTATATCTGTCTGTAAAGGGGGAGGGAGGTGGTGGCGGGGGCACTTTCACTCCAGGAAAGATTATCAAATATGAGCGAAACGTTACCGTGAAGTTGTGCTGCTATTACGAACTTGTCCTGTAGACGCCCGACCACGTTGATCGAACGGATTGCCCCACGGTCTTCCCCAGCAGAGTGTCCGTTGTCTCATCGTGGCACACGGACAGACGCACCGTTTTGCCGCGGCGCCTGGAGCGAACGCAACCGTTATTGATGCTGATGAAATACTTCCCAAGACATGCTGCTCGTCGGAAAGCCGTGCCTCTATGGCGGTTGTCGTTTTCGTCGTATTCCCTCCTTTCGGCTGCCATTCCATCGCCAGCCTTGTCCGTTGGCCACTACCGTTTCTAACGGACAGGTCCTCCCCGGGCCCACCCTGCTTGCAAATCGATACTTTGTCTCTAAGTCGTGTTTCGTCTCTCTTCCATATTTTTCTGTTTTGTCACAGTGTAATTCCCCAACACACAGTCTCTCAATCCCCCATTTGTGTTCTTTTCCGTTACTTTTTTTTTTTGTCCCAGATTCTTTTTCAGGCAGGCGATATGCACCGATTGATAACTTTACCCTTCGGGCATATCGACGTGCCGTTTTTTTGCCACGATCAAATTCGCATTTCAAATATCGTCCCAACCTGTTCTTGCTCGACTCTTTCATAATTTTTATCCCCCGTCCACCTTCGATGACTGGCCTAGATATACACACTCCATTGCGATGCTTCATTGCCCGCCTGCTTCTTGTCGGACGAACCTCCTCCTGACCGACTGCAGTTCATTAATGAACATTGAAGGAGGCTGACGTTATCCGACCTTACGCATCCATTCATTACGCGTTGTTAATGCGAAGCCGGTAGAGTCTCATTCCAGTACCGATTGTTCTGCCTGCAGAACTAAAGACCCCCATCAGAGGCTGATTATTCTTTAGTCTACTGTCTGATTATCTCATGAGAAACCTTGCTTTTACTGTTGTCTTGAAGGCCAACATCAAGGCTTGTATGTCACTTTCTTGACTAAAGAGCCCTTAAGAGACTTGGCCTCTTAAGTCTGTTGGCATCAAGGGCCTTAACGAATACTGGTCCGTTGTCTAAAGATGTCATGAGATGATTGGACTCTGTGCATTAATTCGAGACCACATCAGGTGTGGAGAATGTGACAAAATAATCACTCGGATGATTACGCCTCCTTCACATATCTGTCTTTCCGTGTAAAGCAATTAAAGTATGTTATACACATCCCATCAGAGACACGGCCTTCTGGGAATGCATCATTTTAGCAGCATTGCTTCAACACAAGAAAACACTGGAACCGTTTTGACATTGAGTGTCTCATCAGAAGCATCAGGCTTGCTTGAACCCTGTTGGTGAAACTAACAGATATTTACAGGCAAAATCCGGGCAGTTATGTCAGTATTTTTTTCTACAAGAGCCTCATGAGTATCAATCTAGATTTGAGGTTTTCATGACTGCAGGGATCCATACTCTTTTGGTTATTTCGGTAAAGTCACGTGGGTATAAAATAAAATAAATTAAATCACGACGTTTCGATTGCAACACAAGCAATCGTCATCAGGTGGGAAAACCACAGCAAGAAAAAAGTTTTTTTGCTGAAGTGGGAGAGAGATGCCGTAGTAAGAGGTTACATAGGTAAGAGAGGGGAGAGGGGCAAGGGAGGAGAGGGAGGGGGGTAGGGGGAGGGAAGCGTTGCGTGGATGCTCGGAGAGGGACGTGAAGCTGGACGGAGGGAAGTGGGCGGGGCTGGAAGTGGGCGGGGCTGAGAAAGCTGCATATGCGCGGGGGGGGGATGCAACAACAACGTCACTGCAGCAACAATGACAATGCAGCGGGCAATGCCCAAACGCTGGGGATGCAATTAACTCGGTAAAATAGACTTGTGCCCGGCAAATATGATGGGACAACCATAAACAGTTAAGGTTTTACCTGGTCAATAACATCCTTCCAATGATTGCTCAATTTGTATCCTTCTTCTCGGTTGAAGTTATGTCTATGTTTATATATCTGGATGGCTCCATGAACAAACCTTTGATAGTAGCCCGAAGGTTTTCAGTGTGCCTTGGTCTCGGAAAAAAACAATATCATGCGAGCCCACAGCGTTATAGCAATGGTCAGCCACAGCAGAGGTATTGGTTCTGCCGTGTTTCAGATCTGCCTTGTGTTCGCGAACACGGTCCGAGACATGTTGTTTCGTTTCTCCAATGTAACAGCCACCACGGGTGCAACTTAGTTTGTAGACTCCAGGATATTGCATGTCAGGAATGACATCCTTCACAGATGGGATTAGATCACGGATTTTGTGTTGTACTGTATTGTACACAATCCAGTACAACACAATTTGGATTTGCATAGCATCTTAATTGTGACTGCATCTCACTGTACAAAGACAGTCTACAGAAATAGTGGGCAGGTTTTAATTTATAGCGAGAGGGCCAGAGGACAAAAGGAAGGTCTTGAGCCTAAAGTAAAATTGGAGCATGGCAGTCAACGGCACAGATGGCTAAGGAAGGGAGTTCAGACCATGGTAGTAGTAGCAGAGGAGGATGAGTGGAGTGGTTACACCCTCGTGTACACACACCAGACCCTCCGCACGCACAAATTAGATATTGCCTGCATGCACTTCACACTGCCAGATGCCACCATCTCTCTGGTTGTTTTGTCATCTCCCACCCATCCATCTGCCCAAGCCAAGCCATTCTTTTACCACCGATTTTTTGGTCCCAATTTTGCTGTGCTGGAGTCACGTCACGTGAGACGAAGAGCCCATTCGTAGCACCGGCGGGGAGCAGCTCCCACCCTCCGTGTTTGAGAACGGCCCGCAGAAGTTGGTACCACAGAGCTAACTGCGAGATCCCTTCAAGTGACTTCTTGTCCACGCAAGGAGGGGGCAGCGTATTCCCACCCGCCCTGCCACCGGGAGTAAATGTCCTTTATATCAGCGGTCCCCAACCTTTTTGGCACCAGGGACCGGTTTCATGGAAGACAATTTTTTTCACGGACGGGGGGGGGGCGGGGGGGGGTTTATCATTGGGTCTTTCCCCCTTTTCAAAGAAGCTCTCCAGCGACGTTTGTTTTTTACTCATTTTGACTAGGGTTAGCTTGTGGGCTTACCAAAACTCTGACTGAGACGAGTGCGCGGTGCGGGAAAGAGGCGCGGACGGAAGTGGTAAATAATAAAATAATGGGCGGACCACGCACGGACTCCCTGCTCACCTCCTGCTGCTGTGCGTCCCAGTTCCTAACAGGCCACGGACCGGTACCGGGTCGCGGCCCGGAGGTTGGGGACTGATATTTTATGTGTCAGAGCTGTAAATTTAACCAAATCAGGTGCAGACCCAAATGCAATGGAATTTTCGGTTTTTTTCTGTACAGTCAATTGCTAACCGGGCTGAGACAATCATCTCACGACGCTCGAGAACCCGATTTGATGTCGGGCGGCAGAACCCCTGGATTCCAACGCGGGATCTCAGTGGCGCCAGCTCCTCAGCGCTCCTTCGACCTCAGAGCCACCTCATCAGCAATGCCATTCTTGGCGGCGGAAAAGGCTGGGGCAGCAGCGAGGGCCTCTCCTCCTGTATCGTCACTGTGCTTTTTTTCCCCCCACCACTTCTACTCGCTCCCCCCCCCCCGCACACCCAATGAGCCCACAAGGCCATTACCGTCTGTACGAGTCGGGGTCAAAAGCGACACGGTGAGGATCGCGCCAAAGCTTTTTGTTGGGATTAAATAAGAGTCCGTCAAATCCCCCCCCCCCTTGAGAGGGCAGGTGACTGCTCTTAAGAAAGCGTTGCGATGCAGCACGATGAATCACGGTAATGCGGTCTGTTTAGGGCGTTCATTCGCTTCCGCTCCCGTAAACCGCTTGCGAGTGGGCACGTGCCTTCGTCACGTGAAGCTCACTTATTAACCCCATCGGGAGGGTGAGGAGCGCCAGCGTGGTTGTGCGCTGCGCGTGCATGCGCGTGTGTCTGCTTGGCGAGAGTTATAATAGCGGTTAGGGCATTGCGATTATGAGCTCGGCAAACCCAAGTTCGATTCTCGCTCACGGCCAGCATCGGTGGCGATTTATCTGAACTGGTCCTGGGCCTCCCCTAGGCCGACGGAGCCTGAAATGCGTACCGCGCGCGATGTGTAAAACATCGCCACGGGCGAGACAAAGGTGGCCGGGCCTGGTGCTGGCCACCCACCCCCTCGTGTGCCGTGCCACCTTTCATAGGTACTCGCAAACAGCACTTGCCCCAACAGCCTGTGTAGGCTGTCTGGGGGATCTTTGTCTTTGTGTGCGTGTGTGTGCCTGTGTGTGCACGTGCGTGTCAGCTGGAGATTATTAGCCCCTTTGGTAGGGCCCGGATGTGTCAATTTAACGTAACGAATCGTGGCAGCATTTTAAATATGGGCACTGGAGCGGCGTGATATGGAATTGGCATGTGATTTTTTAAAGTGCAGTTTTGTAGTGAGGTGACCTGCTCGTACAGATGTGACGGTAAAGCACGATACATTACCGGCAATAACGCACGAATGGGTGACCTCATTATAGATTCCAGAAAAAACGTCCTCATGCTCAAACGAGTGACATGCAGCGCTGACCTCGGCTTGCTAATCCCGCATCGGCGGTGGACATTCCACGCATTTCTGTAGCTCGCCAGGTCGGTCCGTCCTGTCTCGAGGAGTGCATTCCCGTCACACATGGTGCCTGTCCCACCCGGCCCCAAGAGGGATGACGGCGATGGCGACGGCAGCGACGGCGACGGCGACGGCAGCGACGGCGACAGCGACGGTGGTAACGCCGATGGCGGGTTGGCCCCGATTGGGATTTGAGCTCACAATGCCTCATGGGTGGGTGCGCGTCCCCCCACCCACCCACCCACCCCTGCCCGAGCGCAACCAAATTGCACTGCGTCCCGGGGTCTGTGAGATCTTCGGGCTTGTTCGTGAAATAGCAAAGACCCGATTCGAGCAACGTTCAATTAACGGGCGCACACGATGATGTCCGTACGCCTCCAATGTTGGTGGGGGTTTTTTTTGTTTGCCTTGGTAAAAGAAAAACCAACTGACACAGTCTTTCTTCGGCTCGGTACAGAACAGGTTGTTTTCGCGTTCAAACGGGAAACGTTTCGTCGACGGGAACAAGTCTGTCGGCGCGGCACACGAGCGTGTGATGGATCCCGGAGTGATTTCCGCTAAATGAACGAGCTTTGTGTTGCTGTTGATAACGCGCTCCGCTTGTGCCGCCGCTATCACGGTCTCATGCGCCGGATGCCAAATCTCTGCCGCCCTTTGGCTTCTTGGGAATTCTTTTTGTCGAGGCGGCTTGCCTTCTTTTTTTTCGGCACCGGTGCGTCTGGTGCATGTTGCCGCATTCGTACGTACACCTTATCACCGTCACTCCTGTGCCCAATGCTCGCTTGATATTCCTCTTTATTGCTCCATGCGGGGTGGGGGGGGGGGGTGGGGGGGGTCTTTCCCCCACCCTCTGATGGTTCCTAAACGGTGAGATTCGTTTGCCACTTCAGCCCCCCCCAGGGTATGTGAAACCCGGTGTGTTTTTTTTTCTTCACGCGACTTGCAAACACGCGCACAACACACGCACACCTGTTTGCTCGTAGATAAGGAGGTCTAATTTGTGTATTGGCAGACAGCCAGCCTACCCCTGATGGTTTTGTGGGAAAACAGACTAATCGGTAGCAGGCTCCGGAGGAAATGCATCCGAATAACTCTGCGGTTTATCACGAGAGCCGAACTCCAACCTCGCAGCAAGACATCCTGGCAAGTACCTTTTGGCCTTCTTAAATACGCCTTGACATTGCCTCCCTTCCTAAACTCGAGCTGTTTACGACTGCGCAGAGATGATCCCCGCCAGTCTTAGAGCAGCCTGCTTCACCTCATTACCCTATTCCCCCTTCCTCCACTTTGCGAGCAACAGTAAAAACCACACCGTTATCCGACCTATTACGCACTCGTCCTGTCACTATAGAGGTTCGTTTGGGGTTAGATCGCGTAAATATGAATGTGTTGGAAAAACCCGCCCACCACCCGACACATAGCCAATTAGTGAGGCTGTGCCACGTAAAGAGAACGTGACCAAATCCGTTACTAGTTCAGCACACCGGTGTGTTGGAGAGTAAATCCACAACATTCACAACATTTACAATTTGTGTAAATGTTTGTGTATTTACTCTCCAACACACCGGTGTGCTGTACTAGTGATGAATTGGCCACGTTCTCTTTATGTGACAAACCTTACTAATTGGCTGTGTTGGGTGGTGGCGGGTTTAACAACACATTTATATATTTACACGAGCTAACCCAAACGACCTCTATTATGGATGATATTGGTCGTGAAAGCCCACAAGGTGTTAAACTCGTCCTCCCGTTTGAGCTGCTGTGCCAACCTGCAGGTTGTCATATTGTCCGCGCGTCCGTTTTTTCCTCCCGTCCGCATTCGTACGAGGACAAACGGATGAAGCCAGGCGTCGCAAAAATGTGTAAAATTTGTCCGCGAGTTCTCTCAGAAGTACATCATTCATTCCGTCATCTCCGCTCAAAGGCAACTAAGAAGAGTAACCCTGAAGTTGTGGAATGTTCATCTTGTTATTCTGTGCTTAGTTTGCTGTCTCTTCCCCCGCACCTCCTATGAGCATGGTTGGCTAGGTACGGTGCGAAAGCAAATTTCAACGTACTTACACATTTGCACTTGCGTGTGGAAAAAGGGTATTCCGGAGTTGTGGATGGGGGTGTCACGGTGGCGAGATGTTAACTACCTCGCCCGGTATACATGAGGTTGTGGGTACGATCCCGACCCTAAGCCTTGTTGTGCATTCGGAGTTTGCATGTTCTCCCCGTGGCCGCTTGGATCTCTCTCCGGGTCCACCGGTTTTTCACTCCAACATGCGCGTGTGGAGTATTTGGCTGCTGTAAATTTCCACGCGACAAGTCACTCCGCTACGGCTATCATTTGTGGCGAGGTTCGACACGACCGGCGTGCGTCACCGTCCTACAAATCCACACACGGTCCAAGCTCCCCGCCCTTGTGTGTCGTGTCCCCTTCCCCCCCCCCCACACACACACGCGCGCCTGCCCGTCAGAGCCAGCGGGAGGAGCGCGCCCGGCGTCTGCGCGACCTGCGCGTGGTGGAGGCCTACCGTGAGCGGCTCAGGCCCGAGAGCATCGCCAACGCGCTCGTGCGGGCGCTGACCACGCGCCACGCGCTGCACGCCGCGCCCGGCACCGCCGAGTTCTTCGAGTTCGCGCTGCGCAACCCCCACTCCACCCCCCAGACGGTCGGCGTGCAGAGCACTGACCCTGAGCTCAGGTGAGTTGATGCCTGCGACGGAGGGCTCACAGGTCTCCACGTCGTCTTGCACCATCACCACCCCCCCCCGCCCCACCCAGCTCCCGCCCCACTACCGCGCCTACCTGAGTGACTTTGAACGCGCAAATTTGTGGCCACTCGTTCAGTCACTGCACCTCCGCCCTCTGGAATTCACTCTTCTCTTCGGCGTACCTCCTCCCCACCCACCTCTCCCCTCTCCCCCCCCCCCCCACCTCTCTTCTCTCCTTTCCCCTCCTCCTCCTCCCTCCTCCTCACTTCCCGTCGTCACATCACTACTTGGAACTCATCTATTTGATGGCCGTGCCTGCTGACCTCCGTAGTTTTCCCGTTCCCCCGTGCTCGGTGTGCGATGCGAACGCTCCCAACTGTGTGGCACTCCCAAGACGTGTGGTCGTCTGATTTAGCCCACTGCGAATTGAAAGTTGTTGTCGGCAGGGAGGACGAGGAGCAGCGGTGTGCTTTTTAGCATTCACGGATGCAGAGGGCCTGGCGAGTTCCCGGGAATCAAGCCGTGCAAACTGACGGCATCAAAACAACACCTGTGGGGTACCGTTTGTGGCATTCGCGGGGCGTTTACTGCCCAGCTTTGTTTGGCCCGGCTCTCCCTTGAGAAGAGACCAAGTCTCAATGGGGCGTTCAAGATCTGCGGAAAGTCCTTTGTCAATCAGCAGCTGGGTCGTGGCCTCCGCTCGCCATATCAGAGGGATGTTTGACTGTACTTTACCGAGCTGCACGGTGCTGATTGGTGAAGGGGTTGAACTCCAGGACCCATTAAGATATTACGCGCCACTGATTGTTAGCCGCGGGTGTGGAATCGAACGCGGGCCAGGTGCCTTGAAAGAGGTGGGGAGTTACCTGCGCTTTCTCCCATCATATTTGTGGTATGTACATTTTTTTCCGCTGGGCGTACAGAGGTGGTGAGATTTCAGAAACGCGCTGTTGATTCCTTATTTTGACACGTGCAAAATATTGAGCCATTAACATTGTTAAATTAATCAGCACGTTCGTATTCGCAAATTAAATACTGTACAAGCTCATCATCAGCAGAAGCAGAATTTCCTATTCATGACGAACAAATCCATTTGAGGCTTATCTGATTTCGAAAAAAAACATTTTTTATTCAAACGCTTCCGCACATGGTCACGCCAAAACAGAGGCCCGCCGCAGTATTGCCTCCGATTTTCATGTCATTCTCGTGGTATCGTTTTTCTTGATCTTGCTTTTTTTTTGTTCGTATGCACATTGCTAATTTACCCCAACACTTGCTGCTTTCCCTTGTGTGTGTTTTTTTAACTCCTGGGAGATGGGAAAAAGAAAATCTACAAGCTAACAGCAGATAAGCCAAGCACGTGACAGTTTTCCTTGCACCTGATTTTAATTTGTAATTTTATTTTTGTTTCCATCCCCACCCAATTGTAACTTCATCGGCGTAATCGTCATCAGCCTTGTTAAATCCATTTGTGGATGAAGGCCTCCCCAAAGCCTGCTGCCACTGCTCACGATCTTGCGATGTAACAATCCATCCAGCTGCAGCACGTGAACCGATCTCATCGCTCCATCTCCTCAGTAGTCATCCTCTTGGACGCGTTCCATTCCTTGCCTTGCCTGCAGGATGGACTGCTACGGTGGCGAGATTTTAACTACCTCGCCTAGTATACAGGAGGTCGTGAGTTCAAACCTGACCCTAACGCCTCTTGTATATTTGGAGCTTGCACGTTCTCCCCGTGGTTGCGTAGATTTTTCTCCGGGTCGTCCAGTTTTTCACTCCACATTTAGAATCAACATGCATTTAGAGTATTTGGCTGATATAAATTTCCACATGATAAGCCACGTTGTTGAGCTTTCACTTCTGAATAAGAGTTATATAGATTACTTGGTAACATTACAAAATTGTTTAGTTTTGGTTTAGGATGGTAGAGGGCAGGTTGTCTCAATGATAAAAGGATCACGCTTTCAGTTCCGTTTGAGCTGGTGGTCTGGATAAGGCTGAGAGCTTTTGTTCAGACAATGCTTGCACACCTTTGCGCGTTGCTAAATCCATTGGAGTGGTACACAGAGGTTGGTGACAGAGGGGAACACCTGATGCAGGTTGGTGGGATATCATAACAGCAGTGCTTGGATGATGGGTTGTGACTGCAACCAAAGGATGCCATGGCCAAAGTGTGGCAGGCCTCAAGAGCAATGGCTTATGATGACCTCTTGATCTCCAACTTTTTTTATTTAAAGTAACCATCTCAAAGGTGCCAAGTAAGCTATGGCTCGGCATATGCACCGTCGCCAACGTCACGGCGGACTTGTGGCGATTTAGAGGGATGAATTTCATGAAAGGATATTTATAAGTGTGCGTTTCATCGACCTAGCTCAAACTTCCGCCTCATGATTATCCTTTCACAATGGGTGATATTAATCAAAACAAATAGTGTCGACTGCTTTTCTATGCAGAGTAAAATTCCTTCACGGCCACTGTGTTTGCGCTGTGAGGTTGTCACAAGCTTTTTAAGGCAAAGATAAAACACATGACCCTTCTTGAGATACAGTGGAAACTCAACGACTCGAAGAGACAAAGCAAGACGGCCTATACGGGAATACTAAAAACTAGTGGGAGAGTGCATGCATGCAGCCAGTCTGCCTGGCTGCCTTGTTATAAACTGCACACCCTTAAAAGTAGCTCTCCGATACGACACGAGGGCCCTCTGGTGCCCGTACGTCGCATGGCTTGATAATCGTTGCGTCAAACGTAACCCCTTCAGTAGAGTTGTCATTTCCTTACTGCCCTTCGCATCCCTTCCCCCACTCCAATGTCAGTGCTGCAGGTCAATGCAGCTTTATAATTTTTATGAATGGCAGTCAAGTTTACCCGGTGAAATGGTAACTACCTCGCCTGGCGGAGTGGTCAGCACCATGTTCGGCTGCCTTTGTCTCCCCGGAGGCAATGTTTACACACCGTACCAGGTACACATTTGAGGCTGAGTCGACCTAGGGGAGGCCCGGGACCAGTTCAGATAATCGCCACTGGCGTTGGCCATGAGCGGGAGTCGAATTCGTGTCGCCGGGTTTGTAGCGAAGCACGCTAGCCGCAACACTACGCCCCCCCCCCCCCCCGACACACACACGCGCATGCTCGCACGGTTACCCCCAACTGTGCACGACCCACAACGGCGACCGTGCCCGACCCCTGTTCGCCGTCGCAGGGTGATTGTGGACGTCGAGGAGTGGCGCCACTTCAAGCGGCTGACGCGCAAGACCACGCCGCTGGAGGAGGGGCTGTTCGACGCGGCCTGCGGCGACGAGCTGAGCCCGCGGCTCTTCCTGAGGCCCCGCGAGACGGTTCTCGTGCCCTTCAAGTACCAGAGCTTCGAGGCGGAGCATGGCGGCGACACGCCGCAGGTTCTTCCGCCCATCCCCCGCGCCCACTCACAATTCGCCAGCCGGTCACGAAAATTGTTTGGTCGCTGCCGAGAACGATCAACACGTTCGTCAATAACGCGGCGGCTTTGAAAGGGAACATGTATAACAGGCGACGTTTTGGGCAACGGCCCTTCTTGATAGCACGTCAATAGAGAGGCCAGGGAGACGAAGTGGACGGTAAGAGTTGGAGACTGCACTTTACACCATGGGATCTGAATGATAATAATTATATTTTAAGTTATTTTCCCCATGACCAGTTTTTTAATTGGCATATGAAGAGTTACACAATTAGCAGCGATTGAGTCACAGACAAAACTCTGCAATAGTCAATTTGTGTATTACTGCATGAACTCATCTGTATTACAAATACTAAAAGTAAAATGATAATAATGTTGCTGGCACATTGCATTGTGGGTAGCCCTGTTTCAGTGAACAAACCCTACATTTGCATAATTCACATAATCCACTTAGTGATGCATCCCTGGGCCTAATTATCACGGAAAATTATGAGAGAGACTGTCAATAAATGTTAGGCTTAATAATGAGTTATGATTATTAAGAACCAACCGACTGCCTTTCACATCTCAAGATTTATCAAAGGTAAAAGTGCCACCATGAAATTTTTCCCTCATGCCCCTGCTGGCAGAAGCACCTCCGCTACGACACTTGGCCTCTTCTGCAGTGGCCAAATGCGGTGGGCGTACCCATACTTTACCCCACCAGACGTGGCCTGCCGATCAACAAACTGTGGTGGACCCACATTTATAATTCTGGGTGCCACAGAGACAGGCGAATTTAATTACCTTTCCCCATTGTTTCAACTGCCACATCAAAAAAACTCAAGGAACCGGTGACCTGGATTTGCAAGTCCATCGTGGTAGCTGTTACACCAAATCACCTGGATCTTGTAAAATCTCCAGCGCTTAGAAGAGTTAAGCCTGGATAATTAGGTTGTGGGGGCTACGTGGCAGGCACCAGAGGGCATTGTAAAATACATTGGCTTACTGTAGTTCTATTTTTCCACATTAATCCTTCCCACCTTCATCCCCCACTGGTCAGCATGAGAAAGTATGGTCAAATAATCCCCATGAACTGCACGATGTGGACAGGCCCTCATCCGGCAGTGGATTGACAGAGGGATGTACATACACATGGTTAACCGATGACCAGGATTTGAACTCCAACATTAGTGCCATCTGGACAAATATGTTATGAATTAAAAATGTGAAGTCATATTATTCCCTCGTGTGCATTCTTACAAACCCAAGTAAAATGTCACTCAGTGAAACAAGATTTTTTTCACGTGAATTCCAATCGTACGTGCTTGTTTTATTCCCTGGTCATTCGTGGTGAGGCGGAGACCGTGAAATAAGCCACACTAGAAGCCCCGGTATAATCACGGGTGGCTGGCTGGTGTTTTCATCCCAGGATCGCGCCAATGCGGCCTGAGTGTCCTGACATCGCCATTATGCTGCCCTCGAGCCACCCATCCTCCTCCTAATGTCGCATTTAAATGCATCGGACACGCAGATGTAGGTTGTCCATTACGTCTGGGTTTACTCCATTTGACGAACTCTGCCGCTGATGTAATTGCAGACTGGCTGATCGTGGCTATTGACCAGCAAGCCACACCCAAGAGCCACGTTTACATAATTTGGTCATGCGGAGGACTCAACCAAACAATTCTTAAGAGTCAATACGAAAGATGCCTTTCTGTGTGAAATCTATCAGGGTCACACTATGAATAGACTGACCCCTGCCGTGGGAATGTGGAATTTTACACTGCCGACTCCGGCAACCGAAAAGGAATGAGCTCTGCCTCCCTCTATTGCTTAGCTCGAGCAGGAGCACTCTCCGAAAATGTTTGATGAGTGATTGAAAGGTCCCCAAGGCCTGACACACGGAGCAATGAGTGACCTTGATGGATCTCTGTTGTTACTTCACGTGGTCCCCTTGAAGTGTCAATGTCTATCAATGTTCCACGGCTTTAATCCCCCCACAAACACTGAAGAAGTTTGCGTCGCTTCATTGTCACGAGAAAAAATAATTAACTACGTAACAAATCTTATCGTGCTTATACGCTCAGGAAAGCCTCAAGACGTTGTCTTTTTTAGTTTTCTCAGGCGGGGGTGTGTAATCCCAATTCAATAGTTTGCAGGAAACCTTTTCAGCATCTCTATGTCTTTTTTTGAGCCGATCCGAGTTACATTGTGTGGGGGTTTATTTTTAAGCGATGGGAGGAAACCGGAGTACTCAGAGGGGGAACGCAAGCAGAACAAAAATTCAATACAGAAAGGCACCCGAGTCGGGAATTGAACCCAGGACCTTCTTACTGCGAGACACGAGTGTCACCATTGCAGCACCGCCCAGATTTTTTTTAAATGTATTAGCTGATTTTTTTTACGTTTAATCTAACACTCAGGGGGCAAGTTAATCATTGATTTGTTGTTTAATGTTGATTGGTTAACTCGAAACACATACGTCGAGTGTTATGTTTACTCGTATATATGGGTTGTTATATTCATATGTGTTGTATGTCTTCACAATTGCCACCAGAGGTACATCGGCTACGCGCAATTATTTAAAAAAATATAATTCTTCAATTGATTCGTGACCCCGGTTTGTGATTTAGTCGTCATCCCACTTGTAAGTAGTGCTTTATGTTATCACTCTTTCATTGGGGCATTTGTCAGAGCCCCCTCGTCTTGACAGCTGATCTCTGTTGGGGTGACTATACAATAGACTAAGAGACCAGTCTCTGTTGGGGTGACTATACAATAGACTAAGAGACCAGTCTCTGATGGGGTGACTATACAATAGACTAAGAGACCAGTCTCTGTTGGGGTGACTATACAATAGACTAAGAGACCAGTCTCTGATGGGGTGACTATACAATAGACTAAGAGACCGGTTTCTGATGGGGTGACTATACAATAGACTAAGAGACCGGTCTCTGATGGGGTGACTATACAATACACTAAGAGACCAGTCTCTGTTGGGGTGACTATGCAATGGACTAAGAGACCAGTCTCTGATGGGGTGACTATACAATAGACTAAGAGACCAGTCTCTGTTGGGGTGACTATACAATAGACTAAGAGACCAGTCTCTGATGGGGTGACTATACAATAGACTGAGATACGAGTCTCTGTTGGGGTGACTATACAATAGACTAAGAGACCGGTCTCTGATGGGGTGACTATACAATGCACTAAGAGACCAGTCTCTGATGGGGTGACTATACAATAGACTAAGAGACCAGTCTCTGATAGGGTGACTATACAATAGACTAAAAGACCAGTCTCTGATTGGGATACAAACAACAGATTATTCCTCTTTTGACTATACAATGCACTAAGAGACCAGTCTCTGATGGGGTGACTATACAGTAGACTAAGAGACCAGTCTCTGATTGGGATGCAAACAACAGATTATTCCTCTTTTGTTCACAGGGTCCCGAGGACCCCAGCAGACCGTGGGTTGCCGCGATTACTTCCCAGCAGCAGGCGTCCGCACGACGGGGAAAGGAAATCAAGGTACGGCGGTGGCCATATGGGCGTTGAGTGGTTCGCAAACTCCCGAGTGAAGCTCCTGGATGGAGGATGCCCAATAATTTGGCAGGCGGGCCGAGCGCCATTCACACGTGTCCGAGCGTCTCGCATTATATTTCTCTCCCATCCAAAAGCACCAATACTGACGCCGAGAGCCGTACAAACTTTCCAAAGGTGTCGACCATTTACAACTTCTTTACAACTTCCAAATCAGACCGCCACTTGGCTCGATCCAGACTGATTCCTCACTTCAGTTTGTCGTGAGTCTTCTCACTCAATCTTATTGGTGGTCTTCCTTTGGCTTGTGCTCCTCTGTGACCACCTTAGAGCAACTTTCCTTCGCTTTTCTCAAATGATGCCCCCACCACCTCTGTCTTGTTGCCTCGAGCCAGTTCCCAGCCTTTAGCTCACAACCTGCCTTGTTTTTCACGGTTTCATTTGATGTAAAGCCAGCGACATTTCAATATAGCTGACATTTCGATTACTTTTTCAGGGAACTCACCAAAATGAATGTTAAATGCGGGAAAATATTAAATCTTGGATCACGGCAATTGTGTCAATGGGGGCTTTTAGGGGCCTTGTCTCTCTGCCTGTCTTGTTTGTAATATGGGCCCGCGCTGACGCCCATGAAAGCAATCTAATGTTCGTGTAAAGTCGTGTCGTTGTTTGACACTTGCTCTAGATACAACCGGGCAAATTGATCGCGCGTCACATGGCCGCCACCTCTCCCAATCACACCGTTAGTGCGCGACGTCCTTATTTCCACCAGTGAATCACCTCTCGAGGACATGCGCACGTTGTAAAGCAGCGTTGCGGAGTCCATTGCGTGTGTGTGATTTTCTCCCTTGTTTTTTAACTTCCTTCTGTCGCCACTCAGGCAGCCCCGCCTGCGATGCTGACTTGTGACATCGGTTACAAGAATAAGCATAACGATCTGTATGCCACAGAGCTGCCCCCGTTTACATAGGGCTGTCTCAGAGCGCTTCCTGCGCGATAAGCGACTTAAATCGCACCTCATCTCAATACATTTTGAAATGGGCACCCCCAGTGGCAGTTGTCCCTGCGCGGCACAAAGCGACCTTGGCTCCTGGCCTGCAAGCGGACATCTAGCCTGCCTGCAAGGGGCAATGATTTCTATGAGCAATCCTTAACAAATAACTTGTGGGCAAATCTTGACTTGAAGCTTTCGTGACTGCAGGAATTCATATTCTTGGGTCTTTCGGTAAAGTCACGTAGATAGGTTAAAAGAAAATAACAACAATTACGACGTTTCGATCGCAATGCAAGCAATCGTCATCAGGAGAAAAAAAAATTGCGGGAAAGCTGCTCAGGCAGGATGTTTTCATCGTTTGAAATGGGTGTAGCCCAAGGGTCATAAGCGAAGTGGGCGAAGCCAGTGATGTTAAAGTGAGAAATTTGCATGCGAATGTAAGATCGGAGAGCTACCTCCACGAAGCTGCGGAGGTGTCCGTTGTATTGTGAGAGATTGGCATGTTAATGGAAGATCGCAGAACCACCGCCTGATGACGATCGCTTGCGTAGCGATCGAAACGTCGTAGTTTGTTGTTACTTTTCTGTTATTTTCTTTGCACCTATCCACGTGACTTTGCCGAAAGACCCAAGAATATAACTTGTGAGTACTTATTTACTGCCAAATTTGGAGCGTTACACTGTCACACGATGGCTTACTCGTTTCGAACGACGTCAAGGAATTGTTAACGTCCGCTGTTAAGCGGACGGCGTGTACTGTGCGGTTGACGCACCCGGATGCCTGCTGCTGGGAAGCAGTAGAATCAGAATCTTTATTCAGACTGGAGGAATCCGATGAGCTCTGAAGATCTTTTTTCACAGATGTCCAGTATGGGGCGGGTCAATAATTACCAGGGCAGCCACTGGGCTGGAGCCGCGAGCCTCGGAAACGAGCGGCGAACGCGCCCGCGCGCCGTGCCGTGCCACTGCTCCGGTTAAGCCTGGCATCGAACGCGGTACCGTCTCCCCTCGCCGCCGAGAGAGGCTGGAGAAGCCGCGTTCCGCAGGCGTTAAATCCTGCGGGCGTTTTCGCAAGGTCACCGACCGACCGCCGACTTGCCTGCCGCGCTAAGACCCGTGCGTCTCTTCCCATCGATTTTGTTTGTCTGTTTTAGTTTGCTAAAATAAACACAGAATCAAACCTTATGTTTTTTTTTCCGACATAATGGGGAGCGCGGTCAGCTCGCCCACTTGTCCACCCACCCAGGCCGCTCGCCAGCACTCTCCGCTCAACTCGCTCCATCACGAAAGCGGGAGATCAATATTTCTCCCGTTCGGGCTACCGCGTGCTCGCCTCCCGGACCATCTTGAAGTGTAATCTCAAACTATTGTTTACACAAGATTCATTGCGCCTGGCCACCAGCCGTAACAGATTATAAGCATACATGATCTCAATTTAAATGATGGACGGCTGTGCAAAGCGGCTGGAGATTGGATGAGCGGGGGGTTGGGATGGAGGCCAGGGCGGCTGGTTTTGGCGGTGGGGCGGGGTTGGAAAGGGCTGGGCGGTGTGGGGAGGGTGGTGTGGGGGGGTTCATAGGAGATGAGAACAGTGGAGTGAGGCTGGTGGGGGTGCAGGGAGCGTGGAGGAAGGTGGGAGGGGGGGGGGTGTGTGGCGTGAGGATTATATTTTACACGTGTGCTGTCAAGGTCAGAACTTGGCACGCGGGCGAGGAATCGCTACGGGAATGCTTGTGGGCGTCGTCGGCAGCGTCCGTGTCTCCCGCGGACACGCGCACCTCTCCTTACGTTGCAAGGGCTTGCTGTGGATCTAAATGAAATGAATTTTCTTTTTTTGGACTTGTCATTTATTTAGCCGGGAAAGGTTTTACTGTTGGCCCAGGCGGCTTAATTGTCAGAGCACTCAGCCGGTACGTTTGATATGCCGAGTTCGAATCCGGGGTTTAAACTGCCCGTGAATTAAACTGGGTTCTCAAGTGCAGTGAGTTGGTGGTCCCAGCCGAGTCGCCAATAGACTGCACGACAAATTATCACGTGATTTTAAAAAAAAAAATTCCTCTTAATTTCGCTCATCGTCTTTTTCTGAGAATTCTAAATCTTGGTTCGGTTGCCGTGCAGTGGATATTTCTCTGTAGCAGTGCCTGTTAGATTACCCGGTGCTCCTAGTATGGATAAAAGAGGTCACGTAAAGGGATCTCAGAAGTAGCTCTGTGATATCTTCTTCCACCAGCCATCGTCTAACACAGGGTGGTGTAGTGCTCGCAGAGAGTTCTGAATGGATTCTTCATCTCTCGTCCTGTTGTTGCAATTTCAGTTATTTATTTTTTTAGAAAGTAACGCAAGCATTCTCTAGAGTGTACTTATACATTGGCTGTCGATTCAGTCCATTGTCTTTCGGGGAGTGAATAAAATTGCTACCACACTCTGGGACGTCAATAATTATTTACCCTATGCGCAGACTGGTCTTTGGCATGAGAATATGGAACGTGAGCCCTGCCCAATGCATGTTTGAACAGGAAAGCAATTGGAGATATATACTTTTTTCATAAAAGCAATAAGCCATAAAATACTTTATTCCAAATTAAATCTACTGTTTCCATTAGAAGCTCATTTTCTTGACGATGGCTCAATCATTTTTGTATGGCAAAAGGTCTCTGCTATGTTTAATTTGTTCCCAGAGCAGCTGTGACATTTCCACCACGTCACCGGTGAAAGTGAGCAGTAGAACCTGATTACATTTTTTTCTCCAATGTGCGCTAAAGCAACAGAAGTAATATGATTTTGTTTGACATTAACGCCGGCGCGTGGGCACGGCGCTAAGCCCCGCACGGCCGTCGATCAGCGCTCGCTGAGTATTTTCCCGACCGCCCGTTGTGTAGCTCCAAAAACACTGCAATAAAAGTTTTATAAAAGTTTCGGTTTAATTCGGCCCAAACTATTACCTCTCACCATTCGGGTGCAATAACCGTACGAGTTTTCTCATGGTAACACCCTAGAGGTACACAGACAGAGATTCCCCGTGAAGGCCTTAAAGAGACTTTTGGGACAAGTGCCGTGAGCGAGAACCTACAAAGCCCCGGCACTGCGCACGTGGGGGTAGGTGACCGACACCGCCCCCGGCCGCCTTTGTCTCACCACTGCTGATGTTTACACTCTGCGCCAGATACAGTGGCACCTCGGTATACATCGTTAATTCGTTCCAGAAGGTAGGAGGACTTATACCGAAAATGACGTCTACCAAATATTTTTACCCATAAGAAATGAAGGGAAAGGAAACAATCCGTTCCAGAGTATAAGAAATTATATTTTATATGGCATATTATACATTAATGGGGTTGTATAACATAATGTAGACACTACTTATTACTAAAATGCATGCAGTGAGGGAAAAAAGTATTTGATCCCCTGCTGATTTTGTACGTTTGCCCACTGACAAAGAAATTATCAGCCTATAATTTTAATGGTAGGTTTATTTGAACAGTGAGAGACAGAAAAACAACAACAAAATCCAGAAAAACGCATGTCAAAAATGTTATAAATTGATTTGCATTTTAATGAGGGAAGTAATTATTTGACCCCTCTGCAAAACATGACTTAGTACTTGGTGGCAAAACCCTTGTTGGCAATCACAGAAGTCAGACGTTTCTTGTAGTTGGCCACCAGGTTTGCACACATCTCAGGAGGGATTTTGTCCCACTCCTCTTTGCAGATCTTCTCCAAGTCATTGAGGTTTCGAGGCTGACGTTTGGCAACTCGAACCTTCAGCTCCCTCCACAGATTTTCTATGGGATTAAGGTCTGGAGACTGGCCAGGCCACTCCAGGACCTTAATGTGCTTCTTCTTGAGCCACTCCTTTGTTGCCTTGGCCGTGTGTTTTGGGTCATTGTCATGCTGGAATACCCATCCACGACCCATTTTCAATGCCCTGGCTGAGGGAAGGAAGTTCTCACCCAAGATTTGATGGTACATGGCACCGTCCATCATCCCTTTGATGC